GAGTGTGTCATTAGATACTGGAGCGGCTATGTCACTAGCGTAAGCCAATTTAAAGTTGTGGCTTGAGAGGGAACTACACCCTTCTCAGCCTGGGGTTACTGCTAATACTCAGCTTCCCTCAGTCGCACTGGGCTTACCTCGACCTGGTCCGCTCACTCTGTGTACCTTGGAAGTCTCAAGAAGTCACAGTGAAGGGCGTCTATCGACTCCCCGCATGCTACTTACTTGTGTAGCTAGCCTGTGTCAGACTCTCCGCGAGCTAAGTGTGGACACCACGTAAACGCATACTCTTGTCCCAACCCATCATTAGTGGTACCGCACATGTGCAGTGTGCCGAGGTTTGTACTTCAGTGCTTTTCATTTGGGTTATTATCTTCTGTTAGGGATGGGTCTTTTGGGGTGCATTTGACAATACTTATTAACACACGTATTTGTTTTCAAACTGTAAAATAGACAGTTTATATATTGAATACCAGTACATCTCTGGAATTGATTTACCCTCCATTATTAGAGAACTGCTGCACACGTGGCTAAAAAGTAGGTTGAGGATAAATAATTAATTACTGGATGAATGAAAAGCACTAAAGTGCAAACCCTCGGCGAACTGCGCATGTGCGGTACCACTAATTGATGGGCTGGGCTTTTTATGCCTTTACTTGTGGTATCCCGCTAGTAGCTCGCGGAGAGTCTGGTACGGGCTAGCTACAGTAGTAAATAGCATGCGGGAGTCGATACATGCCCTTCGTTGTGACTTGTTGTGCCTTCAAGACACACAGAGCGAACGGATGCGGTCGAGGTAAGCCTGTGCTAATTTACATATTGGCTTGTTCACTTGGTTTTCACGCCATAACTTTAGAACACAGTAGTTTTACGAAAATCGCCTTTTTTAAAATCAGCACTGAACCCGATCATATCGCTATTTACCTGATTTCGTGCGCACGGTGGCAGAAAACGTGGTAACAGACAGACAGACAGACAGACACACTTACGGGACAACTACCGTAACCCTCGCTGCGCATGCGCGCCGAGGGTTAATTAGTTTTGTGCTTAGATTACTAATGAACCATCACTGCAGAAGAGGTTCTGGGCTGTTGTGATGTCTTACTATCATGTGGCTTCACAAAACAGATTGCTCTCCTCAAACTCAGCGATATTCCTTCACCCCCAAAGAGAAGAACATGTTTCTCCGTCAGTAGCCACTTTTGGGAATGAAGGTTACATGTAGGGTAATCGTTAATGAGTACAGGACTCCATTGGCCATGTATAGTTCCATCAAAGCACTGTCATAAGAGAACCTTCAGATTGTCACCACTATCAAATGATCATGCACATTGGTGCCGACAACTTCAAAGTCAGCTGCTGTGACACACCAGTAAAACTGAATGTCCTCGCTATCACACATAGTGTCGAGAAACTGACCTTTCTGTCCAGTGCCGCGAGGTGAAGACAGGTGCCCAAGATACTTGCAGTTAGAGACTTCATCTTGCAGGGCAACAAACAACTGAAAAGTGGTGTCTTTAATATATTATATCCTCTTCTGTGTATCATTTCAGCATAGTAATCATTGTGATGCAGGCGGTAAGCGGCCTAAATGTTACAGTTCATCTTCAGCCATCAATCGAAGCCCACCCTGTGTTCACAGATTTCTTCGGGGCACTGGGGTATTAGTACTTTTACAAAGTGAAGAATACAAGCAACCCCAGTGGCACAGAGTTACAGGGAAGTTCACATCATATTACAGCCCCGTTTACACGGACAAAATTGAATCTGTTTAGGCTAAATCGGTTTACGAACCGGTTCAAAGTGTCCGTGTAAACGGGGCTATAGCCACTACAATCGGATCAAGTGAGACCACCATCCCCATACTTTTAACAAACTCGTTCACTTGGTCCTTTGGACTAAGCACACCGAAGTGGGCAATTCAAAATTGGAATTAAGGAACTGTTTTCATTACAGCAGATTTAGGGAACGTGTGAGGTCACACGGTTAGCCCATGACCAGCATAGCAGCCTCACGGGCCTGCTCGAACCAGCACGTGGCACCACGTGAGATCACGTGGCCGGGCCAGGTATCTGTCGCTACTCCATCGTTGGGCGCACATGGGCTGGGCCGGGCCCCCGACATGACCTCCCGCCGTGTCTGGCTCCTCCAAATATTAAAATGGGCGAGCCGGAGTTAACAAGCATTCAGCGTCGGATAGAGGTCGAAAGTATGTATGGTCTTCTCTGAAACTGCTGCGTTTGAGAGGTAATTACACCGTGAAACATGAGCAATACTCTTGTCCCAAGCCAATATAGCACGAACGGGATGGCCCACCTTAATCTGATCCAGTTGCTCTGCGTACCTCGGAGGCACCAGAAGTTGCAACGGAGGGCGTGTATCGCCTCTTGCATGTTATCTTGTAGCGTAGCTAACCTGTGTAGTTGGTTTGTCTGTCTGTCGGTGTGTGTGTGTGTGTGTCGACGCTTATTCTGGCACTACAGGCTATGAGGGCGGCCCATTAGTGATACCAGCGGCGTCAAAACTACGCGAGCCTGAAAAGAAAAGGGTGATTTTGCTGAAACAACTGCGTTCGAGAGATATGCCGTGAAAAGAAGCGAAAAAGCCAATATGCATACTAACACTGGGCTTACCTCGACCGGGTTAGCTTGCTCTGTGTGTCTTGAAGGCACAAGAAGTCACCAATGAAGGTTGTGTATCGACTCCCGCATGTTATCTACTGCTGTAGCTACCCCGTGTAAGACTCTGCGTGGGCTACTAGTGGGAGACCGCGTGTAAACGCTACTAATAGCCCAGCCCATCAATTAGCAGTATCGCGCATGCGCAGTTCGCCGAGGGTTTGCACTTCAGTGTTTTTTCATTGACCAATGAATGCTTGAATGCATGAGTACAGTGCGCTTTCGTGAACAGCGATAACTGTCCCAGGCTTTCTACGATACTTTGTACAGTACCATTGGATGCACGTGGGCTGGACAGGTGTGTATTTCACTATCAATTCTCACATGGGCTTTGTAACTTAACTATCGTGAATAATTAAAAGCACTGAAGTGCAACTCTCGGCACACTATGCGTAAGTAAACGCATGCACAGTAGCACTAATTTATGGGTTGGGTTTAGTTTTATAGGCTGTACTTGTGGTTTCTTGCCAGCTCGTGGAGAGTGTGACCGTAACCCTCACTGCGCATGCATGCCGAGGGTTAACTACAGAAGTGCTTGGCAACGGCACGTGGCATTGAAAATGGTGGAGCAAGTCGTATTCAATGTCAAGGGCTTGAATGGCACACTGCAGCTGCACATGCAGATACAGCCAAATGACGGGTGAGTCCAGTGCGTTTCATATTGTGCGAAAGCCTTGCCACTTTATAGTGCCAAGAATAAGTTAGCACTTTAGTGGTACTTCATACTTCAAAGGCAGCACAGTTAAAAGGTGATAATTGCCACAGCGAGAGATTGTCTTAATGTAAATGGTTTCGTAATCATAAACATGCACTCACATCTATGTTTAGCAACAGCACGAACAGACGTGAAGAGCTACAGAGCTGCAATTGCAAGGTATTGAGCGACTTGAACAGAGGCCAGCAAAAAGCCCACATTTGTACTCTGTCCCTTGGTAAGTATGCAGTAAAGTCTCTTTGCATGCAGCTTAAACATGCACCAATGATTGTACAGACGGATGGTCAGCCTCACAGACACAGTCCTATTGCTCTGTGAAACACGTAGCTCTTCTCTGTCTAAATGACAACTGCTCTTCCGTTAAATTAGTATTCTTCATACATTCATTCCCGAGGGGGAATAACAACAGAGAAGGATTCTGGTATGAATGAAAAGCACTGAAGTGCAAACCCTCGGCGAACTGTGCACGCGCGGTATATACCACTAATTGATGGGCTGGGCTTTTAGTAAGCGTTTACTCGTGGTATCCACGCTAGTAGCTCGCGGAGAGTCTGACACGGACTAGCTACAGTAGTAGATAGCATGCGGGAGTCGATACACGCCCTTCGTTGTGACTTCTTATGCCTTCAAGATACACAGAGCAAGCGGGCCCGGTCGACTGTGCTAAATATAAGCGCATGCGCATTTTCCGTAGCGATAAAATGGCCGACTACGCATTAGTCGTACAATGGTGGAAGCGCTCTAGCTTTGCAACGGAGCGTTTTCAGAGAAAACCGTTCGAAATTTCTGACCTTCATTGCCCGTTCAGTAGGTGGTATCCTTTGTGAGACGAACGAACTCTCGAGAAGTGAGATGACGAGTAACAGACAGACAGACAGACACACACACACAGAGACCCAAGTACCGTAACCCTCGTTGCGCATGCGCGCTGAGGGTTAACAACATCTGCTAATAACTGAGTGAGAATACGGAACCCGTGCAGATAGCCTTTTTAAGGGTGCAACACACACAACACTAGACAAATGCAAACCTGAAAAAAGTGAACTTAAGTATTAATTCCTGGGAGACACATAAAACCAGAGAAGGGAGGTGGGTGAGAGGAAACACACAGTTAAAGGGAAGGGTGAAGGCAAAAAGAAGTATACACAGATAACTATACCCATTGCCCCTGTTATGACCCTCACCATATGGATATTTGGTATCTAGTCTGTCAGGAGCTTCACGCTGCCAAGGTAGCTCGTCATCACTACAGTTGTTGGGCATTCCGTTGTATCCAATCCCTACAATCTTGTGCTCTGGGTTTACTATGCAGGCCCCAACCTATAATACATATTATACAGGAGTAACAAAAGCTTCAGAGCAATGTGTCCACCAAAATAGCAAAGCCTTGCAAAAGAGGAGTGGTTAACAATAAAAGTTGCATAAACCACTACACACATGTAATTTTGCATGTACAGCAAGGGGATTTTAGTTAAGCAAGAGCCCAATCATACGTAGCTGCCTACCCATCACCCTTGTTCAGCCCTCAGTATGTAATGTAGAAATTGCAATGCTGGAGTGTTGGTCCATCTCATTTCAAAATCTTGAACTAGTGCACATGCCTGTGAGTTTGGGTCTTTGCTTCTCTGTGCACTCAAGAAAGCAACGGCCATGAAGTAGTCCTCCCAAGACAGGTAGTCCTTCCTCTTCTTCAGCAAAGGGGAAGATAAAGATGAAGAACAGGCTCTTTTGTGGGCCACGTCTTTGTCACTGGGTACACCAATACAAAATACAACGAACAGGGGCATGTGCAAACATTACACCCACACCCATGTGCCGGTCAGTATCGCTAAATCATGGGACAGTGAAGTCAACGTTTCTAGCGTTACTAGCTGTCTATTTGCAGAATAACCAAAGGTTTATAGAGAACCCAGCAGAAGGTTTATAGGTTCACCTGCAACAAGGTTACTAGGTTGACTGGCACAGCAGTAATTGTGGTTTTTTTGCTAATTCTCTCAAGGGCTACACTACTTCAGTAGATGGCAAATTAGGCGATTGTCGGAGTCGACAATCACATGCTGTTCTAACTTATGATGATGCCACTATGATACACAAAATGCAGAATATCAACGTATGTCTGTGGCAGTTAACATTAATGGTGGCTTGTAAAATTGAAGTCATTCTATGTGATATCGTCTTTGGGTGGTTTGTTGTGCATTGTGGATTGTACAACTGTAAGTCTTAGTGTGCATGTGTCAACAACGAGGTAACGAACTAGAAAGGCAAACAAGATGCACACTAAGGGTATAATATCCAGAAAGAGTTACCCTCAGCTATATAGTCAGGCTAATAAGTTAAAGGGTTAGTTAGATATCATGCTCAGGTTAGCTGTTGCAGAAAACCAAAGGCAGAATTTTGCTGCTATCGCACTGCATCCCATTGGTGCCGGGCTTAGTTTAACGGAAAGGAACCATGCCGGTGGTGACAACATGCCGGTGGTGACAAATTCCTCGCTAAATGGAATGTCCTGCCATGCCCGGGCCCAGGTATAATATACTGGTGAAGCAGCCCCACCTTCTGAAATCCCGGGTCACAATTACTCGTGGGCGTGCGCGCCTTACCGCGTTTACTAGGCTGCACTGTATTGCACGATCTCGCGCTTCCCCTCAAACAGCCGTCCCTTCAGCGTTCTGCTTCTCAAACAATACATACCCTGTCTCTACATCAGGCAATAAAGGTCCACTGTGAGTGTCCATCCCGTTACAGCGCTCGTCACTGGCAAACGACATCGTACCCAGATTCCACTCATACTACTGGGTAGGCGATGAAGCGATGAGCGCAGACAGGTCGTAAGGCGCCCGTGAAGCTCCCTTCCTCTCCTCTCCAAACTTTATAGGTAGGTCGCGTCCGCTCACCGCTCACGTGCGAATTGAGCATGCGCATAGAACGAACGACCTGATCTCTCCTGGGCGGCCCGCCCGGCCGGCTCTTGCCTCGTCACTGCATGCAGCAGAAGGTGGAGTTTGTAGGAAACCGAAAAGAAGCAATGAACCCAGCCATCATTCTGGTTGGCCTGGCAGCCATGGGAGGACTTATTTCACTCGCTCTGCACAGAATTGAAGAAGGTAGGGCAGCATTATCACCATAATCTATCAATTCCTGTGCTAAAATGTGAACTTCTCTTTTTTATAGGTCATGTTGGAATTTATTACAGGGTAACTCTCTAGAGATGCACTGTAAGTGTTGATATAGAGTGGTGTACTACTTCGCAGGGAGGGGCTCTGTTGGAGGGTACAACTGGACCAGGGTTCCACCTTATGCTACCACTCCTCACCACCTTCAAACTAGTCCAGGTGCTGCTACTACTGGCACAATTTTAATTACTAGGTGAATGCAGTGCATTTTTGGCGAGCTGGAGCGATCCAACTAAATGTTTGTGTGTGTGCCCAAAGAGTGGTTACGTCTCCGCCGGTCAGCGGTTCTCATCTGCTGGAGGCTAGTGTCCCTCTACTCGGATGATCATGCTGCCTCTCTCCCGCCCCCTACGTTGAGACAGGCGTGTCTCCCTCTCCTTGACCGCCGAGAAAACGATTTGTCGCCATGATTGCAGAGGTTTACGGGGGGAAATCGTTATGACACAAATGGTGCACCATACTGTTACATATGTCTGCATAGTCTGTAAGAAGCTCCTCATCCTAGAAGGCAGTATTACAGTAGTGGATTGATGTTCTTGCAGGTTACATTGCAATCTGATGAGGTGAAGAATGTTCCATGTGGTACGAGTGGTGGTGTGATGATCTATTTTGATCGAGTGGAAGTCGTCAACATACTTAATGCTGCACAAGGTTAGTGATGTGCAATAGTGCTCTGAGCTTCATTGTTCATGTGCCTTACACATGTGTTCTGTGTCTCTAACATTATACATAAGGGTCTAAGATACAGATACACATATACTGTAAACATGTGTACTTCCTTACAGTACATGAGATAGTGAAGCAGTACACAGCAGACTATGACAAGGCCTTAATCTTCAATAAAGTACACCATGAGCTCAACCAGGTTTGTCCTCCTATGATGCATGCAATAAAGGATTGTTTGATGCAAACTGTCATGGCTTGGCATAACGTTTCTGTGATTTTAGTAAAAGTGAAAGCTATCCGTGCAACCTTCCCTTTGTCTGCACTCCCCAGGGTTCTGCCTACGATGGTCGGCGGTGGTCGCATGCGACCACCTCCGTATGAACCCGACCACCGCTGAAAGTCTCTCGACCACTCCTAAATAAAAGGCGGGGCTGGTGCCTTCCGCCCGTATAGTACGCATCTAAGAGCGATGAATGAATATCTGCAATGGAAACGTGGCCTCCCTGCGGCTCTACGATGACACTTGGCTTTCTAACACACGAAGAACGAATCTGGGCTTCGTATGCGCGAGTATAAACATGCAAACAAAAAGGCACGCGCGAACGCGAAAAAACCACGCGTACGCGTTAATTCCGCGCATGCGCATTTACGCGCGCCTTATTTCTAGGACTGTTTACCAAAAGCACTAAAGTGCAAACCCTCGGCGAACTGCGCATGTGCGGTACCACTAATTGATGGGCTGGGCTTTTTATGCCTTTACTCGTGGTATCCCGCTAGTAGCTCGCGGAGAGTCTGGCACGGGCTAGCTACAGTAGTAAATAGCATGCGGGAGTCGATACATGCCCTTCGTTGTGACTTGTTGTGCCTTCAAGACACACAGAGCGAACGGACGCGATCGAGGTAAGCCGGTGCTAATTTACATATTGGCTTGTTCACTTGGTTTTCACGCCATAACTTTAAAACACAGTAGTTTTACGAAAATCGCCTTTTTTAAAATCGACCCAGTGTAGCACTGAACCCGATCATATCGCTATTTACCTGATTTCATGCGCGCGGTGGCAGAAAACGTGGTAACAGACAGACTGACTGACAGACAGACAGACACACTTACGGGACAACTACCGTAACCCTCGCTGCGCATGCGCGCCGAGGGTTAATAATCCTAGGCAGAACCCTGCATTCCCATCCTGTCTAAGAGAATATGCTGTCAAATACCTTACTATGTGTGAACTTTGTGCCTCTATGGTCAGTATAGATGTCCGGACAAACGAAGAAACGCTATGTCGCGGGTATATTAGCATGTGAGGCGAGCCTGCCTAGTTTTTTGAATGCAGGATTTCCCCCATATTTTCACATATACCACAATGATATACGTGGTACTACATAGTTGAACTGAGCGTTGCATTCGTTATATAATTCATTGCTGGTGGTCACCACAAATAATTTGTTGTGGCCAGTGAGAAAGGGGACTACTCTGACTTTAAAGTAGTCGCTCAAACTATCTTCACAGGGATGTTGCCGGCAAGTATCAGCAGTGTAATATGCATGCAGAGCAGCATGCTATAGAGGTATGGTATTTGATACTCAGTTCTTCTTGAGCTTCCATAGCCATTCTTAGCTATTTGTGTAGCTATGCACAGTGTGCCTTAACGAATGATGCTTGTCTCTGCTGGCTCCGTGTATATTACTACTTACTACTGTGAAGTAATCAGGCAGTCTTCACAATAACTCGTGTCGTTGTTGTGACTTTGTGGTGTGTGTGCTGAAAGAGAAGCCAGATCTGCTTCGATCCAGAGTTCTTGGACCGCAGGTTCCATTCTACTAAAGTTGGCTCTGCCCAGCAGATAGGGGATTAGAGAACCACAAAAGCCCTACGCAAACCCAACACATGTATTAGTGCCCTCACATTTATTGAACAACGTGACGCGCTGAGGCATCCATCATACATGTACATACTTCATTCTTCTACATCTGTCCTTTGGCTGATGGCCATGGTACTCTGAGAATGAAAAGAGCTCTGAGACCCTATATATTAGTGGTGTATACTTCTGGCGAGTTTTGTATGGGTAGATAGCGGTGTAGTGCCAGTGTCCTGCTCGTGCTAGGGAGCTTGTAGTACATCTAATTGCGAAATGCATACGTCACTTCCTGGCGGATTGTGGAGTGTCGCGTGCCACCAATAAACATTACGCGAAGGAGACATTAAAAATGGATAAAATCAAGTGGTAAGAACATTCTTGTTGGGGTACTAAATCTATTGTTAAAAGTAAAAAAAAAAACAGTGTTGTAGTTATTTTGTGAGAAAACATAGTAAGGAATAAGGTAATCATTCTCTTAAGAATGAAAAAGCCACTCGGCTTACTAGTAGCAAGGTCTTTGTTAAATAGCAAAGGGACAAGCTTGAAAATGTGTGCTGATGAACACCAAGCCTAACTGTAGGGGAAAATAGCTGACCTGGGTGTATTTGCTTTGCCTTTGCCTAGCTACTGTACCTTACCTCGTTTGTTAAAACACATGTAAACCTCGTTACTCTCCATTGTTTTCATCTATGTACGTATGTACATCTTTTCTCGCAGTTTTGCAGTTCTCACAGTCTTGATGAAGTATACATCAAGGAATTTGGTAAATTGGAACCAGTCTGCTGAGCACATACGTGTACTAAGTTACTGCTCCTCACCATTACAAAAAGCATAATGCCTGTTGACTGACACTGTGTTATTGTAGAGCTAACATGGCTAACACATGCAGCTGAAATGAGTTTATCTAACACGAGAGAGTACTTCTCTAAGCGGGTGCGATAAAAAGGAGTTACTTAAGAACGTAAGTGTTTGCATGGAAAGCTTTCTTCAATGTACATCTCATTCTTGATCTAGCCTGGTTGACTGAAAGAATTGTGTTGTAGCTGATTGCACTGGTAGCTGTTGGTAGAGCTCACCTAAGAAGCAGAGTGTTGTGAGTTCCAATCCCGCCTAGGGCAGCATTTGTTTTAAAAGGAGTTGTCCTGGGTGTAATTGACTTGTTTGCTTTGCCTTGCCTTTCTACCTCACTTTGTGGTTGACACATGTATGTGTATTAATTGTCGTTAGATCAGATTGATGAGAACCTGAAGAAAGCTCTGCAGAGTGAACTCACCACAATGGCCAAAGGTCTGATAGTGTTGTCTGTTCGAGTCACAAAACCGAAGATCCCTGAGTCCATCAGGAAGAACTATGAGCTCATGTGAGAGTAGTCCCACCGTATATTGTCAACTGTTTCAGGAATAATTGTGCATTTGATCAGGACTCTAACAGTACAACAATACAATTCTGCCATAAATTTATTAGACCGAATACCCGGGATTGGAAAAATATAGTAGGGGTCAAAAAAACGTTTCCAATTTCGTTCCGTTTCGTTGAGCTTCCATTCCCTTCTGAAACGCCGTTCAGTTACCGTTGGAATGAAAAGCACTGAAGTGCAAACCCTCGGCGCACTGTGACGCGCGCACGTAAAGTAAACGCATGCGCCGTACCACTAATTGATGGGCTGGGTTTAGTTTTAGCTGTTACTCGTGGTCTCTTGCCAGCTCGCGCAGAGTCTGACGCGGGCTAACTTCGAAATTTCTGACCTTCATTGCCCGTCCAGTAGGTAGTATCCTTTGTGAGACGAACGAAAACTCAAGAAGTGAGATGACGAGTAATAGACAGACAGACAGACGCACACACACACAGACCCAAGTACCGTAACCCTCGCTGTGCATGTGCGCCGAGGGTTTAATGAAAAGCAAACCCTCGGCGCACTGTGACGCACGCGTAGTAAACGCATGCGCCGTACCACTAATTGATGGACTGGGTTTAGTTTTAGCTGTTACTCGTGGTCTCTTGCCAGCTCGCGCAGAGTCTGACGCGGGCTAACTACACTACTAGATAGCATGTGAGAGGCGATACACGCCCTGCGTTGCATCTTCTGGTGCCTCCGAGGTACGCAGAGCACGCGGAATCGATCATGCCGTAATAAGCCGTGTGTATGTATTTGCATATTGGCTTTTTCCCGCTCTAGCTTAGCAACGGAGCGTTTTTAGAGAAAACCGCCTTTATTTTCTGACCTTCGTCGCCCGTTGGGTAGATGGTATCGTTTCTGGGACGAACAGACGTTCGAGGAGTGAGATTAGGGCTGAGGAAATTATGCTCAAATATTTGAATTTTATTCTACTCCTGGATTCTTCCATTATGTGCAATTTATGCTCCTATTTTGACCAAATTATGCTTGAAATTTTGAACACAGTATATAATTGGCGTATGTACGTCGTCAATTAGTCACCCTTAGGAATGTCAATTAGTCACCAAAAGGAAGTGTAACTTCTGTCGTTCGTAGGAAGTCTAGCTTCCGCCGTGCGTAGGAAGTCAGGCTTCGTGCATAGTCAGTAGAGCGCGCGCACGAGCAGCCTCAATCGGACACATTGGCGCGGCAAAATATGTGCGTGCGCCTTCCTAGTATAGAAATTATTCCTGGAATATTCTCGGATTCGAGCAGCCCCAAAAAATTCCCAAATTATGCCCGGCATAATTTCCGCACCCCTAAGTGAGATATAGAGTAACAGACAAACAAACAGACAGACCCAACTACTGTACCCTCGCTGTGCATGCGCGCGAGGGTTAAATTTAGTTCCGTTTAGAATCGTGCAAGATGCGAAGGCTTCACTGTGAAGATGTTTCTTCTAGCACCTGCCTGGGTACTGCCTACTTGTTTCGCGTTTGCGCTAAAAAAACCTGGTTTCGCTCCCCCGCTAGCGAGTCTCCACCGCATTTGCGGAGGGCGTGTCACGCGGAATTCACAACGGAACGGCAACGTAAAAACAGAACGGAACGATAGTGAACGGCAAACAGAAAGAAACGGAACGAAATTAGAAACGTTTTTTGACTCCTACTGTACATGCTGTGACGTAATGACTTAACAAATCTTGATAACGTCTGAAGCCGTTGCCACTGTTAGTTTTCCCTAGAGAAAGACGTATCTTGCTGCAACCAGGAAAGAAAGCAACTGTCTGAGTTTTGTGGTATGGTCGAGTAAAATACACCTATGTAATTGTTGCAGAGCTGTTGCTGCCTTCCACCGTGCACTTAGCCGTCAAAATGGCCGTTTTTGGTGGGTTCTTCGTTGGACGTGAAGGTGGCAGCTATATACAAACAAGCCTTTGGTAAAATTGTAGCCACAACAGTTCAAAAGCTACACGGCCGTAGTTGCATTAAGGTGCATACTGCGCCACTGCCATGGCTTGCACATTACAAGTTTCTTGTGCTTTAGCTTAAAGCAACAGTATCACTTTTGTACCATATTGTGTTCTTCTCTTGAGGTCTGTAAGAGCAGCAGGTGTAACATTGCTTACCCAGATTTTGTGCCATTCTCCGTCATTCCTCTTTCTCTTATGCTTCTACCCTCCTATATATAAAGGTGTGATCTGTTCACTGTACGTACAGTACTGACAGAGGGAAAGGGTTGTTGTTGGTGCTTTAGGTGTAGTTTTGCACATGCATCTCTACTGTGCAGACCGCATGCACACGCGTGATTGTATTCACTTCTGGGTGCGAGGATTGACACAGATATTGCCCCCATTGCCAATCCTGGTTACTTAGTCTACTAAATCTGTGGTTCTGCCACTTTACTGATTTCATCATTGCGTCACATAGGGAGGCAGAGAAGACCAAGCTGCTGATATCTCAGCAGAAGCAGAAAGTTGTAGAGAAAGAGGCAGAGACAGAGCGCAAGAAAGCCATAATTGGTTATTTTTTCCGAAGTGTGAGGATGTATGATCTGCATCAAAGCACTGCTGGGAGATTTTAAAGTCTATTTGACTTCACCTGAGACCTCGAAAAATTTTCATAACTTTTTATATCCAATTGTGAAAGCGCTAACACCATTGGAATCCTTTATGCTTCTGAAGGTATCCTTCACTAACCGTATAACCCAAAGTTAGCTGTATGTCCCATAAGAAAAGTATGCCACAAGTAAGGTATGTTATCCTTGTATAAACAGTGTACACAACAACTTCAGAGGCTCAGGTGAATGCAATAGATTTTAGTGATGTACTTAGGTATTCATGGCAAAAAGACTCATGGTGTCCGCTGCTATTAACTCCTGCAGAGGCAGAGAAGGTGGCAGAGGTGGCAGAGATCCAGTACAATCAAAGAATCATGGAGAAAAAGAAGCAAAAGGAAATTTCACAGGTAAACTGAGCCCTTATGGCCAAACATATGTAACTTCAATACAGGCAGTTATTAGCTACATAATCAAGTTCATTGTTACAAGCCTACAATATTGGGCATTGTGCATTCTGATGCTGTATGCTTACTGCTGTCCTTTAAGTTGAAAATCATTTCTTAAAATAAAGAAGGGATGGATCAAAGCACCAAAAAAGGAACAGGGGGTCATTACACAAAAGGCATACAAAGCTACATGACACCATCCGTGTATATTGCCAGATATTTTTTTGCCTATCAATGAATGGAACAAAGATAGAGGAAAGGTTTCATGTGTAGCTTTGTGTGTCTTTGCTGTGTTGTTTCTTCCTTTTAGGTGCTTCGAGCCATCGACAATTTTTGTGTATAACTATGACTATAGTTATTGTGGTCACTCGATGTGCATGAATCAGGAGGTGTAAGCACAAGCAGGATGCATAATAAACTACACCTACTTTTTTCTAGTAAGGAAATGACTAGCTGTGTATGTTGTACAGAGGTTGACCATAAACAAATTACTAACTTGTTGACCTCTGTCTGACAAAGTGCAAGCACAGAGTTGGAAGCATTTGTAACATTATGCAACCGTCACATGACTCTCAATGTAATAGTCTGCAGCCTGTCTTTTGTAGAGAATATACGACAGAAACAACCTTTTCCCAGTGCACATCCCATAAACCATGAATATTTTTACTAACAATGCGGGTATTGGAAGAGGTTTGTATTTGAGTAGATCCGATTCAAATGGGGGATAATGAAGAGCCAGCCAACCCTGGCGTACCCCTTCTATCCGACAGCTACAGTGTGGAAAACTTGACGATCTGTGCCACTCAGTACATGATAGCTAAAACTGAGCTAAGCATACAGTACAATCCTTTTTACAGCTTCCTGCCAAATTTCTTGTGCAACCCTTCGAATTTCGAGCTATCATACTTGCCGATTTTAAGGATCAGCACCCTGGTGGCACGTTACCTGCATTCCTTACACCCACTATTTGAAATTCCTGTGCGATTTATGTGATCGGTTCCAACCTCCTCAGGTGCTTGCACTATCCACATTACAAGTGACAGGGAGTTGGGAAGGCAGCCCATTAGCTAATGGGCTGCTGTAAAAGGCAGAGAGTAATGTACGCACAGCATATATACAAACAATCCGAGTATATACAGTGCTGTGGCGTGGCGAATCTGTAGCCGTTTAGTGAAAAAAATCTGTGCTTTAAAAGTTGAAGTAAGGAGATGGCAGGTTTGAGAGATGATATTTAAAAATGATGAAATACGAAAGTGTGGTGTACTTCCAATTGTTATGTAATAGTGACCGTGAGGTGAAGATAACTGTTAAATCCTACAGATTGAGAATGAGGCCCACACGGCTAAGGTTCTTGCTGAGGCAGATGCTGAGTACTACCTTGCTCAGAAAACAGCTGAAGCTAACAAGGTTTATCATACTCCAAAAGTTTCCATTTTTCGTTGGACTGGTTTTCTATCCTCAGTCGATGTAAACTTTATTTCTCTCCAGCTGAAACACACGCCCGAGTTCATAGAGCTGGCTCGCTACCAAGCCTTGACCACCAACACAAAGCTCTACTTTGGTCCAAGTCTGCCTTCCTTTTTCGTGCAGGGTAGGGAGGAGGGGCTGTTGTTGCCACGGCAGCAGACTTCACCCGTGGAGGAACAAACAAATCTATAATGACTCTATAGCTGCATTAAAAAATATTCCTGGCCTATGTGATGTGTGCTGGGAAAGGTCAATGGACAAAATTTTATAATAGAGCCACAAAAGCACATTAACCAAACCCACTATTGATTTTTGTTTTACGCACACTAATTCTCTTGTCTTACTGAATTTCAGACTTCTCTTCGTTTAATAGTTGGCAGTGAATGGCAGTGGCTTTGGTCAGGATGTGTTTTAACCTTGCATCATTATGATGTAATGCAGAAAATAGATGTTAGGGTAGTATGGGACTATATAAGCCAGGTGGATATGTTATCTGGGTAAGGATGATAATGCAGCTAATTGGGGTGAGGGTAATGCAAGAATCGGGGTAAGGAGAGTAGTAATCAATGAGGGTTATGCAGGTGCCAGAAGTAGAGGAGTTTTTTTAAAACAACAGACATGAGATACTGAGAACGTAAGTTATTCCATCCACAGTTCTTTTTGGAGAGGATAGGGAAACCTAATCTTCCAGTGAGGGAACTGTTTCCCGACATGTGGAGGAAGATACTTGCTGGCGCGAGAGGGAGATAGTCAAATTCATGGGGAAACTCGGAGATGGTGATACTTTGTTTCATCTGGCCCTTCGACTGAGCTTTTGAGAATTGGCAGAGGAGGATGATAGGAGTGGAAGGCACTTCATGTAGCTCAACTATGAAGTAAAAGTAGCTAGAAGAGAAGACTGGAAATTTTAATTTGTCAAAGATCAGACGAGGCTGAAAGTCATGGGGGATGGTAGCAAAGTAATGTAGGACGTTCAGCTGGTGCTGATGGATCAAGGTGCAGATATGGATGATTCCGAGTGATTGTTGGAGGCCAGAGACTTGCATAAATTGGATAGGCATCCCCGAGATTGTTCACAGTATAGTTATGAGTAGAGTACACTCTGCCTGTGTGAGTGACCACACTTTACACCTACACAGTTGACATTATACTAGGAATGCGCACGCGCATATTTTACCTCGCGCCTGCCAGCCAAATGCCCGACAGAGGCCGCTCGTGCGCGCGCTCTACTGACTAGGCCTGAGACTATTATTCCCACAATTTGTCCGGATATTCTATTCTGAATTTCCTACTCCATATGCCTATTATTCTTTAAAGTTTACCCATTATTCACAGAAATTTACCTATTATTCTGCTTGAAAAATGAAAAAACAGTACTATACAGAGCCGGATCTACCGGATGGGAAGTCGACGCCATTTTATCCACGTGGTGTTTACCCTGTCCGAGTCGGAGTCCGTTCCGTTTTGACCCACTCGTGCGCGTGACGCGCGTCCACTCGCGCTTCGCCCTTCCGCGAGTTGCCGCCGTTGCCGGCTCGTCGCTCGCTTGGAAATTTTCAACCTATTATTCTTGGAATTATTCTTATTCCCAGAGGGACCTATTATTCCCCAAATTATTCTGGAATAATCGACGCAGGACTACTACTGACTGCGCGCGAAGCCAGACTTCTACGAATCTGCGCGCAGGGCGGAAATGTACATTCCTAAGCGTGACTAATTGAATTTCCTAAGCGTGACTAATTGACATTCTTACGTACGCGAGAATACTAGTTGCCTCACGCTAACGCGCTCGGCAAATATATACAGGCACATATGCAATGGGTGTGGAGGCAACCAGCATGACCCCCAAGAGCTTAAAAAGGTCCTTGTGCAAGAACTATATACAGTGGTCTGATGTGCAAGGTTTAGAAGATGAGACAGAACGAAGCACTTAAAGGTGGTGTTTCACTTGACATTGCCTATGAGCAGCTCTCTGCAGAGACGACTGCGGGCACGATTTGCAGCCGATTCACATGTTTCACTAGCATCGCTGACTTCAGGGCATATCGCTACTGGTGAGATCAGTGCCGATGCCTGCAATCAGTGCCAGATTGTTGGTATACATGTGGCCGCGACTGAAGATACGCCTAAAATTGATGCACCACCAGAGTTAGAGAGTGGCTTTTTTGTACTGTTCCTCGTATTTATTTTGTCTCATTTCCTCCGGTTCACGCAGTTCCTGCAGTTCCTCTTGTTCCCTCTAGCTCCCCTGGTTTCTGCAGTTCCTCAGGTTCCCCTGGTTGCTGCAGTTCCTCTAGTTCCCATTCCTGAAGTTCCTGGAGTTGCTGAAGTTGCTCAAGATGTTCCTGCCAGTTCCTACTACATACAAGTAAACTAAAAATCCTGCAAATTTTAAAAAAAGAGGCATATAGGGATGGTATAAAAAAAGATAGGGATGGGATACATGAAGCATGGTTAACGAACAGATTTGAGCACGCTGACACCCAGCCCCATCACACAATCCCTATATTGTTGCCTGGTGTGCTACTGTTATTGGGAATGTGGCATTATAGAAGGGGTAAAGGTTACTAAAAACAAGCATTCTTTCACTGTCCCCCGTTGTTTTTGGACTTCAATTACTGCCACAGTCTCTTTAAACTCCACTTGGACTCTAACGGTGTTGGTAGTAGCATGACATATTATAATTCCTGAGTATTGTATTTAATACTTCACCTAGGCAACAATATAGGGATTGTGTGATGGGGTTGGGGGTGTCAGCATGCTTGTATCCCATCCCTATCTTGTCTCCCTTTCTTTTTATACCATCCCTATATGCCTCTTTTTTTAAATTCGCAGGATTTTTATTACTTGTTACCACTCATTTTTATAATTATACTACTACGTATAATATCTCTGTGAAGGGGGCAAGCCCCTATAAAATTAATAATGGAGAAAAACACCTGTTGTCATCATGGTAATAAGCATGTGTACCAAGTTTCATCTCCATATATGCTGCCATTAGCAAGTTTGAGGAGTGAAGGCGGCTATTTGTTGTTGTGGCTGTCACGGCAACGATGGAATACACATGAAGAAAATTATACCATGTGATGCCAAGAGAAAAAAGATGTGGAAAGCTGTTTCGGGCTTGTTGGCCCTCATCAGCAGAGCATATCGCAAATTTTCTCTTTGGCATCACATGTTTATAAAGGCTACCAGGAGCGCAGCACTTGTGGTTTTGAAATCCCCGCAAGGCTTTGCTCAGGCTACCAGGTGCATGCACACCAAGTTTCACCTCTATGTGTGCTGCAGTTAGCAAGTTTGAGGAGTGAAGAAGTAAAGAAAATTGCCTGAGGCTTTTTCAAACAATATGCGGTCGTCATGGAAACATGTAGTCGTCATGGAAATCGTATAATAGGCATAGCTACATACCTGCCTTTCTATTCACAGTGTTTTGATGTGATGTTTCATATACACTCTGCAGGTTCCCTCATTTCTAGAGACACTTCTACTGTACTGGTGGAGAGAAAAAATCATCGCAGCCGTGGTGTTCTATCATCATAATGAACCGGTGTGCGTCGTTTGTTTTATGTTATTGCGTTTCTATTGTTTCTTTCTATCAACTCACCTTCACCACACTGTACACTTCTAATAAGTGTTCACCCAGCCAGTATCGCACATTACCTTCTTTCGTGGTGATTTTGGTGGCAGTAGGCAATTGTAACATACATATATGTACACATGTATGTGACTTGTATAGGTTCCAATGCATTCTCTACATGATTGATGATTGAAGTGATAATTTCTGCACTTTACCTTTCTATTCATTCACAGTGTGTTTGTTGATGTGATGTTTCATATACACTCTGCAAATTATCGCTGTACTAGTGGTCTTCTTCATCATTGAACAGTGGTTTGTTGTTTATTGCATTTCTATTGTCTCTGGTTCCATCAACTCACCTTCACCATGCTGATGCACACTTTTTCGTTATGTTGGCTGTAGTCAATTGTAACTTACCGGTAAGTGACTTGAATAATTGTTCCCATAGTTTTTATGATACAGATCAAAGACCTGTGGCAATTTCTGAACTTTACCTTTCTATTCAAAGTTTTTGGATGTGATGTTTCATATACACTCCTCTGACAATATCATGTATATTTTGCCTAGTTTCCCTTTTTGAACCAGCCCCATTGTGCTTGAGAAAGCCATTTTATGATGTAGGACATTTTTCTGGTCCCTTAGAGCATTATCTGGACCCACACCATTTTCATTATTGTTTGTATGTATCCAGTAATGATGCGGGACCAGCTGAGGAGTCCTCCCGCTCTATAAAATAATGTACGAAAACCATCTCTGGATCCCCAGAGATGGTTCCTGGTTTTTGTTACTGTGGGTCACACTGAGGTCATGTGATTCTCAGTCCAGCACAGAAGTAACAATTTTTGCATTTCAGTGGGACCTGAACACGTTGCTTTGTCCTTTATAGGGACATTGTCCTCTCTTTGTGGAACTTCAAATTGTGTCCTTAATTGACAGGTTTTTTTCCTATTGTGTCGTTTATTCAGTGTCCTTTACAAGAGGTTCTACGTATGGCAGGGAAATGTGGTTTAATTTGGCGACTAGTTGGGTGCATTGGCATGGCATAATTCAAGAGCAGAAGTATGAGCAAAATTATAATCACTGCAAACCTTTCCCGCTTTATTGGGGAGAGACAGATATTATGTAGGGGGAAAGCACCTTTATGCTTGGATATCACTAAGTACGGTAGTATATAGGGATGGGCATGGTACCTACAGCATCATAAATGTATGGGACTACGATGGGGAGTTTTGTTCATCACCTTCTTATTCTTCAACCAGCATAACTCAAAAAAAAAAGAGAGATAAAGTCATGAAATGTACATATCCATAACCACATGTGCAACGTCATACTTTTTTGTTTGTATACAATGTTGTTTACTGTAAAACAACAACAAAAATTGCCCCAGGCAATACATATTTATAATGGGCATGGGCATACTACATATGTCAGTGTAACTCACAATTGGAGAGTGTCCTTGGTTCTATATACGTAGGGCAGCTCCCCTTTTTCCCCTTGAAAACAAGAGTTGTCCTGGGTGTAGTTAACTTGTTTGTTTTTCCTTTATACCTCACCATGTTGTTGACACACAGAGTGAGGATCGACGAACGTGCAGACCATTAAGATATTCCTATATTCGTACGTGTGACTGCTATGCCATATATGCATGGAAATCTTTGAGATCCCAAGTGTAGCAATTTTGTTGTGTGCAAAAGTGTGCAGTAAGGCAACTACACCAACATTTAGTCGGGCCTACTGCACAAACCTGCTCAATTATCTAGTCATAGAATGCAACTTATAAAGAAGCACAAAAGATGTAGGCCACTGTCACGGCACACACAGGCGTTTATCGGAGTTTCCAACAGTGTCTCCAAGTCAATTCTAACAATAATATACACGGTCTCCAACACTGCCTTTGGTACATAGCACACTATCCGTTAAGAAAAGAGGTTATAGTCGAGTGAAAAGCAAAGATCCGCTAAATATTTGCCAGGGATGTAAATTATATCTGAACCTTGAACTCTCTGGAGTGATTTACAGTTGTTGGTGGTGTGCATTCTCCTTCATGTGTGTTTCCTATTCAATCTCCTAAGGTGGCCTCACCCACTGGTCCCACCTTTGCCCTCCACACAAAAGTGAACATAAATGACATTCCTGAGGTTGCATAGTTCTAGATAGTGATTTACTACTGTGACTAATTGACATTCCTAAGAAGTGTGACTTCATTGAAGGATGGGCTGCTATATATGTATGCAGGCTTGGCAAGGAAATTTAGGCATATATACTGCATAGCACCATTGTGCTGCTAAAAGAATCCACACTTGTAGTCCCACAGTTTGGGTTATGCACAGCAGTATGCATTCACCATCAGTCACACTCCGAAAATCTTCTGCAAAGCTTACCAATGCTTGCAATTGTCACCTAAGTTGTGGATAATTACGTAGGTCAAAAGTTCAGAATTGACGAAAACTACAACCCTAAGCTACCTCAGGTCCTGTCAATCAACCATCATTAATTATCCTCCACATCTTCACCAAGCTCCCACAACCTCAACAACAGACCATTACATCACACATTATGCCCTCCTTTCTGAAGTCTGCCCGACCTTCATACATAGCCTGACCCTTATCTATGTATATGAACGAATGTTTGTATACACAATGTATTCAATAGCCAATATCACAAATGACAAAAATACATGATTGTAAATAACAACAAATAACCTCAGGCACTTTTCTTTATAATAACTTCTTCACTCCTCAAACTCGCTGACGGTATCACGCATGGAGATGAAACTCGGTATGTATGCGTGTAACATCATTTCCATAACAACTACATGTTTCTATGATGACTACATATTGTTTAAATAGCTTCAGGCACTTCTCCTCAAACTTGCTAACAGTAGCAGTCATGGAGATGAAACTTGGTCAGAATGCGTATGATATACGTTTCCATAACAACCACATATTATTTGGACAACAACAAATAACCTCAGGCATTTACTTCTTCACTCCTCAAACTTGCTAACGGCAGCACATATAGAGATGAAACGTGGTACGCATGCATATTACATCATTTCCATGACGACAACAGTGATTTTTCTCTATTATTAATTTTTATAGGGGGCTTGCCCCCTTTCACAGAGATATACGTAGTAGTATATAAAAAAGAGTGGAGACAAGTAAATAAAAATCCTGCGAATTTAAAAAAAGAGGCATATAGGGATGGTATAAAAGGAGAGGGAGAAAAGATAGGGATGTGATACATGAATTTTTAAAAAGAAGGAATATAGGGGATGATGAAAAGAAAAGCAGACAAGATATGGACGGAATATAACGAATAGCTTCAATACATGTATATAATTATAATGAAAAGCACTGAAGTGCAAACCCTCGGCGCACTGTGATGCGCACGCGTAAGTAAACGCATGCGCAGTACCACTAATTACCCTCGGCGCATGCGCCGCGAGGGTACTGTAGTTGGGTTTGTCTGTGTGTCTGTCTGTTACTCTCAATCTCACTTCTCGAATGTCTGTTCGTCTCACAAACGATACGACCTACTTAACGGGCAATGAAGGTCAGAAATTTCGAACGGTTTTCTCTGAAAATGCTCCGTTGCAAAGCTAGAGCGCTTCCACATTGTATGGCTAATGCCGGTAGTCGCCATTTTATCGCTGGTGGATAATGCGCATGCGCTTATATTTAGCAAAGGACCGGTCCGCTTGCTCCTTCTATCTTGAAGGCACAAGAAGTCACAACGAATGGCGTGTATCGACTCTCGGGTGCTATCTACTACTGTAGCTGGCCCGTGTCAGACTCTCTGCGAGCTACTTTGCCGAGGGTTTGCACTTTAGTGCTTTTCATTGATGGGCTGGGTTTAGTTTTTAGCTGTTACTCGTGGTCTCTTGCCAGCTCGTGCAGAGTCTGACGCGGGCTAACTACACTACTAGATAGTATGCGAGAGGCGATACACGCCCTGCGTTGCATCTTCTGGTGCCTCCGAAGTACGCAGAGCACGCGGATCAATCCGACTGAGGTAAGCCATCCGGTCCGTTGTGTATTTGCATATTGGCTTTTTCGCGCTCTAGCTTTGCAACGGAGCATTGTCAGAGAAAACCGTTCGAAATTTCTGACCTTCATTGTCCGTTAAGTAGGTCGTATCGTTTGTGAGACGAACAGACATTCGAGAAGTGAGATTGAGAGTAACAGACAGACAAACCCAACTACGTACCCTCGCTGCGCATGCGCGCCGAGGGTAAATACTGTAACCCTCGCTGCGCATGCGGGCCGAGCGTTAATTATACATTGTGAGGTATAGGGACACCACTGACACAATCGCTATAAATAAACAATATTCAGGTGGGTGCCACAGCACTAGGGGCATAGACCACGTACTAACACCAACGAAGTCATCTGCAAACAAAAGTCCTCCATGTCTCCCACCACTGCTTAAAAATCAATCCCAATCTCAGCTTCCTCTATCTCACTCAACAACCCTTTGATAAATAGGAAAACATAATAATAAGCACAACCATACTCAGTGATATATACACATTGTAATTTGTATTCCACTACTGCAGGAGTATATTATAGTCAACCTGGAGTGCTGCTGAATAAGTATAGGTTATACGATGGCAGCGCCGTGGTTTACAGGTTTTACACGAGTGGCCAGTTTTGATAGGGCACGAGGGCGTAGCCCGAGTGGTCTATCAAAACTGAAGCCACGAGTGTACAACCAGTAAACCACAAGCAAAGCCATGGTATAACGTGTTTGTATGATGATAAGGCTCTGACCAATGAGATTGCGCAAAAGCTTTCAAACGCCCTCTTTTTAACGCACACCCGATACCCTCGAGAGAGCTAGCGACCGATCGGGAGCGGAGAGACAGCTGCAATAAGCGCTTTAGTTTGGTCAAGCTGGGCGGTTGTGCAGAAGCCATGGTCATTTTTTCGAGAGTTCAACGTTACAGGTACGTCACTTTTTCGCTGCTGGACTCCACACGAGTTTTGTAGCTGCCGCTCTGGCTCGCTTTCTCTCCCGCTATCCCAGCGCTCTCGAATGCAGCCTGTTGCAGTAGCAAGAAGGCTGAAAGTCACATACTGTTCCAGTCTACGGGAGCCTACGCGTCGGGAAGCAGTTTTTAGCTAGTTTTCAGACCGCGTATATTAGAGCAGTTTCTGGCCTGAAAACACTCCCTTCTGGTAAAGAAACAGCAGCACACGAGTGTAAAAGCCCCCTAATTGCACAACACGCTGGCAATTTCCTACTATCGTATAACTACCATATACCTATTGTGGTTATGCAAATAAGTTGACATACAGCTAAAGTATGGGGAAATCGTATGGTCTCTTTATGGTATAACTACCCGTAAACTCAGCAGGAAGCGCTCACTACGCGTGTACGTTGTTTGGACTAGCTGGAATTCCTTTGATCTTACTCTCAGTCGTCATGCAATTTTGAATGCCAAATGCAAACCCCCTTGAAAGAGCAACTTACAGCTACTTTTACAGATTTATATATATACACACCAGGCAACAATATAGGAATTGTGTCAGTGGTGTCCCTATACCTCACAATGTACATGTATTGAAGCTATTCCTATGCCAATCCCTATCTTGTCTGTTTCTTTTTATATACCATCCTTATATTCCTTCTTTTTTTTAAAAACGCAGGATTTAAAAAAATTTAATTGTGTACTTTTCATGTCCATTAAGAGTTACCAACATATTATTCTTGTGTTGTAAATACATAATTTACAACAGTAAAACAGTAAACAACACTGGGCCTGACAATGGCTAGTTCAAGTTCTCATTACTGACAATGGCTAGTACTCAAGTTCTCATTTCGGTCTCTTTGAAGGTGGCTCCAGAACCACCACTTGGGCCGTAGCGAGCCGCTTCTTTCGGTCGAGCCGAGGCCACATGTAGAGACTGTGGCTGTCGAGCATCCTGTACGCCTCAAGGGCCTCAGCATCTGTGAATATTCTGTGTAAACCGGCTTTTGAGAGCTTGGAAGCATGGTCGTCTAGCCCCCTCAGGAACAGGCGGTGGTGTAAAACAAGCCACAGAAATACGATACCGGGACCAGTCAGTCTTCTCATCTCCATGTCGAGCCATTGGACTGGATCGGAAGTCAGTAGTATGTCCAGGTTGCTGTCGTACATTGCAACCACCAACTCGCCTTCAATGAGGGACAACCCCACAGCGGGTACTAGGGAATTCTGGTCCCTGTGTCTTCTCTTGCGAATGAAAGAGGACACAACAGCCTGCGCGACCAGCAAACAAGTCTAAGGCTGAAACCTTGGCGGGTGAGGGTTGGTACACGACCGACCCAGAAATCCTGCTAAACTCGCATGCCGTTGGACAAGACTGTACCACGGTCACGTAGAAGTAGGTGTCCCTGAGGTGTGCCAACGCTTCATCCGCCATCTTAGTGTATCCGCTGCTTATCCGCCTCGGCCAGTCGCGATGTCTCGCTTCGATATATGAGAAAACGCGGTCGGCCAGATAAGCGCGGGTCTTTTATACAAAGTTTGGCCCGCCAAACACCAAGCGGCTACGTGGTGAATCCTTACATATATAAGTACGCGTATATAGGGTTCATTGCTGTTACCCCAGCAACGGCGTATTATAGGTATGATTTATTGCCACCCACTTAGCAGTACTACCTGAGTCAGAGGGCTGAGCTACTTCCTAATCAACACCCACTGCTTTCCTTACAGGCATTGTGCTGGAGAAAAACATATTATACTAAGTAGGTTTGATGATGGCAAGTATGCTGTATTCGCGCTGCGCCCTCATAGAGCATACTTGCCATCATCAAATCTATACACAGAGCTGAGTCTGAGCTCTGATGAGAAGAGATGATTTTACTCTCATGTAGACTTGACGCTCATGCGTCAGGCGCCGTCTCCCGAGCGATTAGAACAGTGAGCGTAGGGACGACATTACATGTATATTATATCCCGTATTTGGGGTGTGCAAATTTGACACACTTCCAGGGCTTCGGCATGGTTGCTAGGGCAAACCCCTGGGAAACATATATGAATTAACTACTAAGGAGCTGGGATTTTGGGCCAATACCACAGTTGATATGGAGACTGAGACTTGACTTGACTTGACTTACCCACCTACAAATCTTTCCCGAAACTTGTTTGGCTTTGTTTGCTAGAGCAAATCTTCTGCCATCTCTTACTATGGATAACAGGCTGCTGACTCAGCAAAAATTGCACTGAATATCATGTGACGTTGCATAATGGTTCGAACCAGAGGATCGGATACAGCGGGTCAAAAGGTCGACTAATCAGGATCACGTGCGCCATAATGTAGCGATCATTTTCACCACTGTACCCCTTGATTTTCATCTAGGCGGTAGGTTCAATGGATTCATCTCTGAATAGGCTACCGATACATACCTTGTACCCCTGGGGTATATACAGCCATAGGTGAGTAGAAATAACCTGATTCAAACCTTTTACCTCTGAAAGTGGACCTACATACTCATACTTGAGAGCATGTGAGAGCTAAAAACCTTTGTCCGTACGAGAGATAGAAGCTCAATCTGCGGATACGCACGTCCCAACAGGTGAAAGTATTCAGTTCTGTGGAAAGTATTCCAGGAATGCAATAATACGGGCAATAATTACATCTGGCCTGGCTTCCTGTCGAACTTCATATCTGGGTTCAAACAAGTTTCGTGTGTTGGTGTATACAACAACTGATTTGGCACTGGTTGCAAAATATCTCTCTGTCCACTCTAAACACCAGGACAAATTGCGTCATAATTAACGATGGGTGAAGCTGTATTGTATAGTATCACATTACTACTCGTATGTATCCGTAACATGCACACTGCTTTTGTATGCACAGTGTGTTGTACTTTTTCCATAGCGAAGATCTGGTGGTTGAAATACTGTTGGAGCTGCTCGTTGGCGAGATTGATGCAGAACTGCTCGAAACTGTTGGCCTCAACTAACTTGTATATACAGTGCATAATTTTTGCCCACACTTCATACACAGTTGAACCTGATTATTTTCGACGTAAACTGTGGCCAATACAATGTCGAGTGACGCCACACTTCATACAGAGTGGAACCTGATTTTTAACCCTCGGCGCGCATGCGCAGCGAGGGTTACAGTAGTTGGGTCTGTCTGGTACATCCATGGAAGTAATCCTCTACAGATGTTTTTCGTCCATTACTTTTATAGTGGGAGGACTCTTCAGCTGGCCCCACTCCTAATGCACATGGCAATCATAATCATATTATTATTTCACCGTCAGCAGAGAACAGTGGAACATCACAATTCTATCCCAGGTGAAGCGACAGTGGACACCGGGAAATCTGCTCACCCAAAGAATACATTTATATAGACTCAATAAGACTGCTCAGCAAGCCCAATTGCAAACATGTTTCTCTCTTCTGCATTTTACCTGTATTATGAGGTCTTAGAGCTCCCATAGTTGCTATGCTTGTTTTGTGCATTTTATTATGTGCTCCTCGAGCCTACTTGAGACCACAGGAGCTTGCACACGTTTCGTTTCCTATAATGCTCACTCTCAATCTTCTCCCCTCGGCTAAAATGCTCCCTCCTCCCACCTTAACCTATAATGTGCAGTCCTCTCCCCTCGGATAGAATGCTCCCTCCTCCCACCTCGACCTATAATGTTCAGTCCTCTCCCCTCGGATACAATGCTCCCTCCTCCAACCTCAACCTATAATGTTCAGTCCTCTCCCCTCGGATACAATGCTCCCTCCTCCCACTTCGACCTATGATATGCTCAATCCTCTCCCCTCGGATCAATGCTCCCTCCCAACCTCAACCTATAATGTTCAGTCCTCTCCCCTCGGATACAATGCTCCCTCCTCCCACTTCGACCTATGTATAATGCTCAATCCTCTCCCCTCGGATACAATGCTCCCTCCTCCAACCTCAACCTATAATGTTCAGTCCTCTCCCCTCGGATACAATGCTCTCTGTCGACCAGTTTGGGACACACCACCAGCCTCTGTAATGATATATTATGGTCAGTCAGAAAAGGGGCAACTGGTCCTACAAAACCTGCAGAATATATCGCAAAATATAGACGCAAAAAACTGTATGCTTTGATGTGAGAAAACTACATTACATGAAGCATGGTTAATGAACAGATTTGAGCATGCGGACACCCCAACCCCATCACACAATCCCTATAATTATTGTTGCCTGGTGTGCCACTCGTAAACTCCACTTGTACTGTTGGTTAGTCAGTAGCATGACCTTTTTGTATTGTGTAATGTCGAATGTTTAATACTTCACTTAGGCAATGAAAAGCACTGAAGTGCAAACCCTCGGTGCAGTGTGACGCGCACGCGTAAGTAAACGCATGCGCCGTACCACTAATTGATGGGCTGGGTTTAGTTTTAGTGGTCTCTTGCCAGCTCGCGCAGTATGACGCGGGCTAACTACACTACTAAATAGCATGCGAGAGGCTATACACGCCCTGCGTTACATCTTCTGGTGCCTCCAAGGTACGCAGAGCACGCGGATCGATCGGACCGTGGTAAGCTATCCCGTCCGTCGCGTATTTGCATATTGGCTTTTTCGCGCTCTAGCTCTGCAACGGAGCAATTTCAGAGAAAACCGCCTTTATTTTCTGACCTTCGTCGCCCGTTGGGTAGATGGTATCGTTTCTGGGACGAACAGACGTTCGAAGAGTGAGATATAGAGTAACAGACAAACAGACCCAACTACTACCATCGCTGCGCATGCGCGCCGAGGGTAACAATATAGGGAATGTGTGATGGGGTCGGGGTGTCAGCATGCTCAATACCATCCCTATATGCCTCTTTTCTAAATTCGCAGGATTTTTAATTTACTTTTCTCAACTCATTTTATATACTACTACATACATCTCCGCGAAATGTAATGCGAAAGGGGGCAAGCCCCCTATAAAAAATTAAATGCCTGTGGTCGTCATGGAATACACATGCGTACCAAGTTTCATATCCAGGCGAACGAAACGTTTCATCTCCAACGAAATTCCTTGGCAATTATAAATGTATGTGGATACAGTCTGCATCAGGCTATTTCCCCCTCCCACAAAGAGGCTGGGGACGACGCTAGTGCATATGAGTGTGTATGTCTACTAGGCCGGCAACCTAGCCACAATCACTCCATACCTGAGAGCATGTGCTATATAGCACAAAGCCCTTATACACACAAATTGGGACGTTATTACTATGGATCCAGACAATGAGTCTGGCGATGCTGTATGTGTGGGCATGAGCTGCCACATACAAACTCTACTAGAAACCTAATTATGCACATGTGCAGGACAGGTAGAACCACTTAGAATTTCTGGAGCAAGTTTCCAAGTGGTTTGAAAGACTTGAGCGAGCTCTACAATAGATAAAGACCCACCAATAGGGCTCTCCATAGTGCCCGCAGAAGTCATTGGCCAGTGACAGGACAGTAATAGAGCTGTTGGTTGACTCAGGAACCTTTTCCTGCTCAATGGAACCAGAGAGACGGACAGACAGAGAGAGAGAGGTAGAGAGAGGGGGGAGGATAAGAGGACGATGGGAAGGGAAAGGGAGAGACGAGCAAGTCAGCCAAGTCCCCATGGTACAAATAGCAAAAGCAATTAAATTTTCACAGTTTGGCTGATATGTAACGCAAAAACATGCAGTGCAAGTAACTACTCTTCGGAGAGGTCAGGGTGTCCTTAGAGAGGGCTTTCACTGTACTCCTATTGTGTGTCCTAGCATGTACAATATGTATGATGGAGCTTTTGAACAGGTCGAGTTTAGGACAAGAAAGCAAACATATGTATGTATCTATGACTTACACATTTTTCTTTGTTCTTCCAAGTCTTGCTTGCTCAGCGATACACTGAAAGAAACAGGAGATATAAAGCATGAGGAAGTATACATTATAGCTTATATACCGAAGGCTATTTGTCCAAATTGCACGGTTATGCATAGTGCAGTACTTATCGCACATAATTATAATGAAATACACACACACATTCACTCACCAACAATGCTTGGTCTAGTACAGAGCAAAACCACCAATTAGCACTCTCAATTATCCAACGGCTATGGCAACACATTTTCTGTCTGCCAGTTTGTAGCACTATATCATGCTCCTATATACATCTCAAAAGCATACGTGTCTGCGACACTCGGTATAAAATTTGGACAGAGAGCTTGCATTTGACAAGGTAGCATGTCAGTGGATTCAACGAATGGTTGAGACTCACCAGCAACAGCAGAGGAGTGTAGGGCTGGCCAAGTATATATTTGGTAATCATTTCCTCATCATAACTGCTAAGAATGGGACCCTGTTCCTGTAGGATTGATAAACCCTTATTAGCGTGACATGCCGCACACTATAAAAACAGCCCGCATGTTCAAGTGTGCCCAGACACACATATTCCTCCTTCCCTAATGGCTGTCTACTTTTATCCTTGTAGGCCTATCTAGGATTTATGTCTTCCAATTCTTACTCTCTGCAGGGGAGAATTTAGGTGGAGGCTCCACAAACACAGAATTTTCCAGTTTTTTCATATCGTGCGGAGTACTCGATTGACATATAGCTGCCTCCGGAGAGCTCTAGCAGCTAGCGTGAGTTGATTTCAGCGCTCAAAAGGCCCTGGCTATATAGGCTTTAGGAGAGGGAGAGGAGGAGAGGGAGAGAGGAGAGAGGGTACAATAGTAAGTGCACTCTGAGAGCTACCCCTCCATTGGGCCTTCTCTCTAGCCCAATCAGTATTAGTGGTGTCTTTTAGTACCTACCAATGGGGGTGTGCACTCCTTTATGTATTACCAAGTCAATGTCTGCATGTGTGCCTTGTGATCATGCATGTCATGTGATATATAGCTGGCATCAGGTGACCAACCTCTTGCAAGAACTTTTGGGTGAAACACTGAATGTAGACTCAACTTACTAGTGGCCTTAGCATCGGCAGAGTGGTTAGTGAAGGGCTCTATTCCTTAGCTCCTTTCAGGCTATATATAGGTACAAGGAAAGGGGAAGAGAGGGGGAGGGAGAGAGGGAAGGAATACAATAGTAAGCACATTTCGAGAGCTACCACCCCATCCCCTCTAGTTCCCAGAGAGTGCATTGGGATAGAGACT